AATATCACTCAGATTACATGTGATTAGGTTTTATATCCTATTAATCTAATCTTATTAACAGGCACACGGTTCGTCGCTGTATATAAACCATTTTTTTTTCTCTATGTTATTTAGTTTCATAATTATTCTATATATGAATAAAGAAAACCAAAGAGGAAATGGAGTAATGGCAAATACTTTTGAGTTTCTTCTGGGAGGTTTTGAATTAGGAAAAATCGACAATGAAATGAATTTTAACATGCCAAAACACACACCTACACACTACACATACACACACACACACACACACACACACACACACACACACACACACACAACACACACACACACACACACACACACACCACACACACAACACACCTACACACACACACACCACACACCACACACCACACACACTACCACACACAAACACACACATACTATTCACCCTTCCCCCTTTCTACCTATCGTACATACGTATATACCTAAGTATTCGCAACGCAACCGCCTCTCATTCACCTCGTTGATTCAGGCTCATCTCTCATTCATCAATTTGTCATGTCAACATCAGAGACAGACTTTCTATTGGAGAAGTTCGCCAGCTGACATAATTGGCTGGGGAATGTAGCAAGGGAAACTTTTGGTTCTATGACAAGATGGTGGCATAGTCTTGCATCCGGCATGGCGAAGGAGAAGAAGAGGAGGAGAAGGAGGAGAGGAAGAAAGGGGGAAATTGGAGAAGAAGAAGAGAAGAAGGAGGAAGAAAGGGAAAATGGAGAAGAAGAGGAGGAGGAGGAAGAGGAAGAAAAGGGAAAATTGGAGAAGAGGAGGAAAGGAGGGAGGGAAGAAAAGGGGGAATTTTCAGAAGAAGAGGAGAAGGAGGAGGAAGAAAGGGGAAAAATTGGAGGAAAGAAAGATGAGGATTTTGCGAAAGAGAAGAAGAAAGAGAAGAAAAGAAAGAAGCGGAGGAAAGAAAGATAAAGCTATATGGAAAGAAAATATAAAGTAATATGAAATAAAATTCATATACCGTCCGTATTTATATTTGTTCTATGACAAGATGGTGGCATAGTCTTGCATCCGGCATGGCGATGGAGAAGAAGAGGAGGAGAAGGAGGAGGAGGAAGAAAGGGGGAAATTGGAGAAGAAGAAGAGAAGAAGGAGGAAGAAAGGGGAAAATTTGAGAAGAAGAGGAGGAGGAGGAAGAGGAAGAAAGGGGAAAAATTGGAGAAGAAGAAGAGAAGGAGGAGCAGGAAAGGGGGGAAATTGGAGAAGAGGAGGAGAAGGAGGAGAGAAAGGGGGAAAAATTGGAGGAAAGAAAAGATGAGGATTTTGCGAAAGAAAGAAGAAGAGAGAAGAAAAGAAAGAAGCGGAGGGAAAGAAGATAAAGCTATATGGAAAGAAAATATAAAGTAATATGAAATAAAATTCATATACCGTCCGTATTTATATTTGTTCTATGACAAGATGGTGGCATAAGCTTGCATCCGGCATGGCGATGGAGAAGAAGAGGAGAAGGAGGAGGAGGAAGAAAGGGGGAAAATTGGAGAAGAAGGAGAGAAGGAGGAGGAAGAAAGGGGGAAAATTGAGAAGAAGAGGAGGAGGAAGAGGAAGAAAGGGGAAAAATTGGAGAAGGAGGAAGAAAGGGGAACAATTTGAGAAGAAGAAGAGAAGAAGGGGAAGAAAGAAGATGGAGATGTATGGAAAGAGAAGAAGAAGAGAAAGAAGGGGAATAGGAGGAAAGAATGATGAGGATATATGGAAAGAGAGTAGGAAGAGAAGAAGGAAAGGAAAGAAAATAGGAAGAGAAGGAAGGAAAGAAAATAGAAAAGAGGAAGGAAAAAAATAGGAAGAGAGAAGAAGGAAAAGGATATATGGAAAGAAAATAGGAAGAGAAGAAGGAAGGATGGAAATAAAACGGAGGAAAGAAGAATGAAGATATACGGAAAGATAAAACGATGTAATATGGAATGCAATTCTTACTGCATCCGACTTTGCGAAAGAGAAGAAGAAAGAAAAGA